GAGGCGGCCATCTTAAACAGGGCTGACTCTAAAAGGTAATCAGTTTTAGACGTAAATTTAAGGATTGCTTTCGGAGTTTCATTAAAACATTTCTAGTGGTTCATAAGATATTCTGATAGACATTATCTCCCGCCTTCACCTTCCGTCAGCAGGCGATAAAAAGGACAAAGAGACCCTTAAGCAGTACAGACACATCTGGTGAAAAAGATAACTTTCACTATCTATGAGAACAACTAAACAGCTCATTCTGTGTGTTTGAAGAGTACATTTTTGTTTAACCCAAGCCCCTTTTCTATTATTACCATTAGATGACGGTTTTATAAATCTTACACTTCGGTAAAGTCAGTCAAATGTATTTAAAGGAAGACATTTTGAAGAGAGATAAATGTGCTTATGAGACTCCAGACAAGTGGAACGACGTACATCGCAGTACGTGCATGCCCTTCTGTTTCCTGATAAGTTGCTGGAAAAAGGCTCCCCCTGTACATAATAATAGGGCGCTTATTGAAACATTACTTCCAGAAGCAAACAACTCAGCACAAGAAAAGTGCAAGTGTGAGCAGCTGCATTCAAATTACACCAGCAACCTTTTCTTTACCTTCGTGAAAGGTTCAAAAACTTGGTGAAAGTCATTTGACTTGGAAACACACGCTGTGTTTAGCATCATTAAAATGACTGCCATGTGGGGGTGGACTTGTCCAAATATTACTGACTACAGATGCACGATATTGGATTTTTGGCCGATATCCAATATGTTAAAACTTATTTGGCCGATAACTGATACCAATAACGATGATTTTGTCCCTAGACCTACTTACAGAGACTGCATAGCTTTCTCTGCTGTGGAATTAAAATACTACATTATTCTGCATGGTCTTTGTCAATTTGGGCTGCTACCAAAAATGCAGATGACAAAAAAAACAAAAAAAAAAGGGGGCCAAAAATGATGTAACACTATATAAATATATAATATAGGGGTCGAGATGGTGTAGGGGCAGGGAAACCGACTCGGGACCCGAAGTTCCTGGTTCAATCCCTGGTCACTGCACATCTTGTGGTGTCTCTGAGCAAGACACTCCATCCCCAGTTGCTCCCCGGGCGCCTTCAAAGTTCGTCCACTGCTCCGCCTAGTGGTGGATGGGTTAAATGCAGAGAGCTAATGTCACCATTGTATGGGAACATACAATGATGACAATACATAGACATTATTCAGTGTTTCCGCTGCCATTATACAAGCGGGGGCCCCCGCCCCGTCAACAGAACCGAGCGCCCGGTGGTTGGGGGTGGGGTCCCCAACCACCTGTGTGCACTGACGTAACGCTAAACTAGCAGCTCGCAATGCAGGTGTGCTAGCTAAAAAGCTAAAGGCAGCCTCTTCCTTCTTGTTGAACCCTCACGCTGAACGCACCCCCACCACTCGAAAACTGTCGGTACAAACAGCGCATGGCTCAGATGTGTCTGTCTCTCCCCCCGCAAAAAAATAAAATAAAAAAAACTGTTGGTTCAGACAGCGCGCAGCTGAGATGTGTGTCTGTCTGTCTCCTCTCACACACCCTGGTATAAAACTGTAAAACTGTCAGTGCAAACAGCATGCGGCTGCCTCTGTGCCCCCCCCCCCCCAAAAAAAAACAAAACTGTTGGTTTAAACAGTGCGCTGCGCAGCTTAGGACGAGTCTCCGTTCCCCTAATAGCACTAATAGATTGTACAAGGACTTAAGTTAATAACAAAATTCTAAGTAATTTGGAGTCTTTGTTTATTAGAAAACTCTCATGAAATGCTTGACGGACTTTAATAAAACTTTTAAAAAAATAATCATTGGATGTGCCTCTAGAGCTCATTAACCTTTAGACTCAACCCAATTCACAATGGCCACTCTCATCAAGTGACATTTGAAAACACAAAAATGACATTAAGTCTGTCCATTTAAGAGATACTGAGCTACGATTTGGTGCGTTTGTAGCTGAAGGGTAATTATAAAACATATTTCAAGTATCACTGACTGTATGAGCTCATTGCTTAAAACTGGCAATGACTGTTGGAGTTAACTCTGTCCGTTAGCAAAACAGAATCTCATCAATCACTGGATGGATTTTAATAAAACTTTAATCCACCCATCATCTTTACCCACTTCTTTTCTGGGTCACTATTGTCCATGTCCAACTGTCACTGTGCAAGAGGCGGGGGACACCCTGGACAAGTCTGCAGTCCACCACAGGGACAAGTCTGCAGTCCACCACATAGAGACAAACAACCATTCACTCTCTCACTCACACCTAGGGACAATTTAGAGTTACCAATCAGTCTAACATACATGTTTTTGGTCTGTGGGAGGAAACTGGAGTACCCAGAGAAAACCTACGCATGCACGGAGAGAACATGCAAACTCCACCCAGAAAGGTCCCAGGCCTGGATTTGATCCCGCAATCTTCTCGCTGAAAGGCAGAGCTGTCATTTCTAATTCAGGCCGGAAGCCCGGCCAGAAGCCCGGCCACAATAATGTGCTTAATGTGTGGGTCGGGTCGGTGTCGGGCTTTTGATTGGATAAGGGACGCACACAGCTGACGATCCAATTATATGGCAACACGGCTTGCCATACAATCATGCTGCCATTTGACTGCGCGCTGACCGGCCGGTTGAAAGAAGTTTAAAAAAAGCTCATTTAAGCTTCAGATAGACTACTGCCAGTGATCCATCCAAAGCCCAAATGGACGTTCAGTCGCTGGCGGCACTCAGCGGATGCACGTCCGACGACCCTAACAGACCCAAAATATTCTGCAGACATGTCAAAGCAGGGTCCATGTCTGAATAATGCAGAATGCAGGCAGAAGCAGGGATTTAATGTGCTTTGATGGCCATGAAAGGACAAACGCCCTCAGCTCCAATCTTCTGACCCCTCAGCCGTGCTCGTCCACTGATAGTTAATAACTATATAAGCAGTTAATGCTTAATTAAAAATGTCAAGGGGGACGGGGGGATGTCGGGTTCTAACCTGTAATTACTGTTAATTTGTTGGGTCAGGTGGGGTTTGGAAATGATGGCTACGAGCTGTTGGGTCGGATTTTTTGGGCCCGAATGCAATTCTACTGAGAGGCAACATCTCTACCAACTGAGCCACCTTGGGAGAAAATCCACATTGAGATGTCTGCTACAAATGCACAAAAATGGCTAGAACTGAACTAAAAAATGGCATGGCAGCAGCTGACAATCATCCTCAACACACATTCTGAACACTAATACATCTTGTGAAATCTCATACGTCAGATGGTTTCACCTTAACTCTTACCAGTCTACAACTCCCTCCTTTCTCATTATCATTTGAAAACTGACATGAAATTAGACTGTGCAACCTACTAATATCCTTCATTTTCAAACAAATGTTTTGAAGCAAGATTTGTGCGAAAGCAAAATCAGTTTGGTGCAGAAGGTCTGCAGCGGGTCGAGGCAGCCCACTCCAACATCAGCACACATGAAGAGCCAACAATTAGCTGCTGTGGAGCAGACAGTTGACTGGCCCAGCTGGGCAGCTGTGTGCGTGGGTAGGTAATTCAGGCAGGCGTACAGGAACACAGGAACAAAATGACCCTATGTACAGACATAAAATCAATTCTCCATGTCATGGCCAATCAACAATTTAGCTTAGAGTCCGTGGGTAAAATTTTGGAGCTCGAACACCGTTTTAGAAGATGCACATCTGCCTGTTATAAGGTTATCTACTAATCGAGAGCAAAACTTGACATATATATATATATAAAGCTGGAATATATCCATACTGTCAGGTGATCTGAAGCCCATCACCTTCTGCAGCTGGATCGAATCCCTGCTCAGGAATTCTGTTGGGAGCTCTGTAAATATGCCCCACATCACAGCAAGCCACAACTCACTGAAGCCCTTGTTAACTTAAAAAAAGTGGCAGATGGAAAATCTGGCCCATCAAAAGTCAACATCACAACCAGCTGTGGCATTCACCAACACAACACACACTGAGCCACTGCTCCTCACACTAATGACCTTTAGCCATCATTGCTCGGGCATTCTGCTCAGATTTTTTGACGGTTGCTCATTAGTAGTGAAGGCCTGTTAAACCGGAGTTTTCTCCCTGTCCATCTTTCCCTGCATCAGCTCAACTCCCTCACCCCCCGCCGTGGTCCCACAGTCCAGCTCGCTGCAGGTTCTGTTGCACTTAACGGGGAGTGGGTAAGAACAGGGCTCGATATGAGAGGGGCAGAGGTCTGAGTACTTGGCGGCTTTTGACAGGAGGTGTGATGTTTGCAGATGAGGACTAAATGAAACCCTGGGCACGTTCACTCCATTCACCTGTAACACCCCCCCCCCCCCAACCCAAAGCCGGAGTATTCCGCCCTGTCCTGCTGACCTCGCACATCGACCCTGGTAGTGACAGCGTAGGACGCCTGGTGGGCTCCGTTCGAGCTCTGCAGTGACCTTAACATTGTGCTGATGAACATACTGCACATGCCAAAAACAAAAAAGCCCTCTTTAAATCCCAACCTCCCCCTCAAACACACATCTGATGGAACGAACACTCGACTTGCTCAAAAACGCTTCATTTTGATCCAGTTCGAATATATTTTTAGGAACCAGCTTTGAGACTTAAAACCTCAAGACAAAAGCCTTTTCGTGCGGCGTGATCGGATAAAGCCACACCAAGTGTCTGAGAGCCAAAAATAAAACCAAATATGCTTCAAATTAATATTTCTAGCTCCATCTGTAAATCCTAAGAAGATGGAGCTAATTAAAAACCTAATCATCCCCATCTGCAGTTCATAAAAAGCGCACAAATTTTACTGACAACTAAGTTCTTATCAGTAATGAAAGCAACAAGAAATGTTGCTGAAGCATTCAAATATGATGATGTGGATTCATCGACCCCCGTCACTACGAACTGAATCATTTTACTGCTTCACTTCAAGCCCCTTTAATGTTCTGTGCATCAGTCCATGGTTTTAGATCAATAGCACAGAGGGACACTAGTCTTAGTTACCTTCATCAAAGTCAGCGTCATCCTCGGTGTGCTGAGGGAAGGGGAAGCAGTTGGTGATCTCCAGCCGGTCCTCGACAACCAGGCCCAGCAGGACGCCCTGAACCACCTCGCTGCCCTGACCCTCCTCCTGGTAGTGCTTAATAATCTTCATCACAACCTGTGAGGGAAAAAAAAAAGAGCACCGCTTCAATATCAAACAAGAGCAAAGCAGGGAGGAAGTCAGAAGGCATTTCCCATCTTACAGTAACAGCTGCAGTAATCAGATTTGGGGGTTTTGACCTGGAGTTTTTATCCCCAGTGCAGTTTTACCCTCGTTTTTCTTTTTATTACATACGTTTCAAAACGGTCAACAAGCTGAGAGGTGACAACATGGTGACTCCTTGCCATGAGAAAAGAATCCATCTTCATGTAAAAAATGCTGTTGTTTTTATTTTACAAAACAAAAAAGTAGTGTTAAAAACACATTACTGGCAGTCTTGTTTTTTTATAGATTTACTGTAATTTCTGGACTATCGAGCGCACCCAAATATAAGCCGCGCCCACTAAATTTAAACAATAATAATTTTGTATATAAATAGGCTGCACTTGTGTATAAGACTCGGGTGTCCATGTTGTCACGTGAGACATTTACATAGAAAGATTTTTTAAACTTTTGATTAAATACGTACCGTAACATACACAAATACGTACAGTAAATGTTTTTTTTTCCTGAACAGTGCCCGTTACACGGCTGGTTAAAAAATATACAGTAGCCTACCAGGAAGTCATTGATTGCTATCTTCATCTTCCTCCTGCAGAGGATTTTTTAAAAACTGCTCCTCTGTCAGAATCCACTGGCAAACTGGAGCAGAAGTTGCTCTTTGCATGTTGCCAGTTTTGGTAAACGATTTCTCGCCACCAGTCATCCAAGCCTCCCACCGAGCTTCGAGTGTCACGTTAATACACGATTCACACTGATATCGAGTGGCTGCGAATACTTTGTTGTGCCCCCAGGGAGGGGCACAAGTTCCCCTTCCTCGTTCTCTCCTCATTTCATTGGTCCACTCTGACCTGTTTGGTAATTTCAGAATTTTTTTAATCTTTATTTATACAGGTAGTCTCATTGAGTCCACCCCCCCAGGAGAGAGATATATTGGACAGCGATGTGAGCGCCGGGGTGTGATGAGGCTAAATGTTTTGGTAGCAGGATGCTCGTTAGCCCGTCAAAAACCAAAAATCCATAAATTAGCCGCAGCATTGTATAAGCCGCAGTGTTCAAAGCCTGTGAAAAAAGTAGCGGCTTATAGTCTGGAAATTACGATATTTAGAAAGGACTAAAAATAAAACAAAGTTAAGTCGGGTCTTCTGGATGGTTTCTTTTTTGTTGAAATGTTTCGTCTTTCATCCAAAAGATTTCATCAGTCTGAGCAGCTGCAACCAACTCCTCTTATAAACAGCACCTTCACATAGCGGGTCAACCAGTTTCAGCGTTTCCCCTACATTACTTGCCTTAGCAGGGCGCTCACCTGTTCTGCGATATTTGTTGACTGGGGTGGGGGTGGGGGGGTTGCACACCGTTTGTACCAACAGTTTTCGAGCGGGAGTGCGGACGGCTCAGCAGGAGGGAAACAGTGCGCTATCTTTGTAGCCTTTTAGCTAGCACGTCTGTATTGCGCACTGCTAGCTTAGCGCTATGTCTGTGCCTACAGTTGTCGGTGGGGGGGGGGGGGCGCCCTGCTTGTAAAAGGGGAAAGAGAGTTTTGATGGTGCTCAGATGGTGTCTGGAGCCCGCCCTCTCCCCCACCGACTCGTTTGAGGAAGTCATGGCCAAACTGGTTCAAAATATCCTGATTCATTTTGAACCAGTTTGGCCATGACTGACAGAAGGTTACTGTTGGTTTAAAACGCACGCTGGAGCTCAGCGTTAGCTTTGTAACCGAGTGGTGTTCCCAATGAGCAGTCGAAGATGTCCAGCCAAACAATCCATGGAGATTTTACATTTGTAAAAATCCTAAATGAATTGAGTAAGGACAATGTAAAGCTGAAGGATTCATGCATACACAATGTAGCACAACAATCACTGCATATACCAGTGCAATCAATCATGGAGAGCGTCGTGTTTCGTTTTCACTTGGCAGTGACTGCAAAATGAAAACCTGTCGAAAAATAAAACAACAGCCTTCCTTTTACTGTTTATAATGAAAAAATCAATTTATACAAAAAAAGTCAAAACGTGCCAATTGTATGCATTTAAATACATAAAAAAAAACTTCACATGGACTTTAAGTTACATTAGAAAGTTCATTAACATTCTGTTTTCAAAAGAAGAATTGTTATTATTATATGGTCTAATGCACCTGGATCTGCTGTCTACACGTGCGAAAGAGACTCAAAGTCATTTAAAAAAGAAGCTAAGCACGTTCCAAAATGTAAACGGTTGTTAAAAACTAATATAACTAACCCAGTCTAGACAAAGTTTTATATAGAAAACCATTAAATGAGACTGTAATATATATATCCATTAACATGTTGTTGTAAAAGGAAGAAGGTGATGGCAGTGGTAAACATGGTCCTGTCAGCGCTTTTGTAGACATGTTTTTGCCACAAAAAAAAAAAAAAAATTTGCTTTATTTTTTTTTCAGAAGAATTAAACAAATTCTTAGTTTCAATGCTTGATGTGTTTACTTTGGTCCAATGTGAATAAAATATGAGTTTATGAGATTTGCACATCATTGCATCCTGTTTTTATTTACATTTTAGAAAAGCTCCTAATCTTTTGAAAACAGAGGTTGTCTTTTATACAACAACCTTTGAGTCCGGTCTTGAAAACCTCCAAGTCTGAGGAAAAATTTACTCAAATATAGTAGAATTCCCAGAAATTGGGATATTTCAGCACAAACAGAAGCACAACCTTTCTAAACATCTTACGTCTGCTTTTAACCAGGTATTAAACAGTTGGCCACTATTCTGCACAGCAGCTACAAAACTCCTACATATAGTCACAAAACCACCAGAACGTAATAAAAACCTTAGTAGAACGAGAAGGAATTCTGGGACACATTACTCTGGCAACCACAGACTGGTTGAGTGGTGCAGTAGGAAGCACCACCTGCAAGCTCCACCATTTGGGCATCTCTGCTCATGAACGCTCACAGAAAGGACCAGTTGGTGTTGAGCGTAGTTCAGCAACTTGAAGGAAAGCGAGGCGGCGCACACGTCTCATTAAAACGCCACACGTGTTTAGTGGGAGGGCATACTTCAACTTGTAGTGTGATGTTCTACACCCAGATGCTTCACCTAAACAGTGCTCAAGCATCGTTCAATTCGTTTCAAAAATACTTGATTAATCCCAGAGGGAAATTCAGTGTTGTCGTAGCTCATCATCCTTGTTTCATTGAAGAGTTGTTATAGATGCTGATAGTTGTGGGCAAGAAGGATCTCCTGCAGCGAATCTGAAGAATCTGGTCACATACTGATCCGTCCACCTGGATCCAGCTTGCGGTCAGATTCGGCAGGCCTCTCGGTCCTCCTGGGCAGCAGGACTGCCCGAATGCCGGGCAGAACTCCTCCCTGAGCGATGATCACTCCTCCCAGCTGTCTGCAGAGCTCCTCATCACCACGGACAAACAGCTGAAGGTGCCGGGGGATGATCCCAGTCCTCCCATTGTCACAAGCAGAATTTCCCACCAGCGGATCTCGGCTGTCAGGTACTCGAGCACCACTGACAGATTGACGGGAATTCATCCACGGCACCTCCTTTTCAATTCATTTGCGATTTGGCGCTGTAGCCGAGATATTATTGAGCTTTTGGGATGTTAAAGCACCTTGTTGTCATGGCTACGCATCATAACAAATGCCCAAAAGTAAAAAGGTTTCAGTAAAAATCCTTCCAGCTGCACAGCATCTGATACCAGAGGGAGCAATCATCTGAAAAGAGCGATTTACATCCAGAAAAAAAGAGGAATTAAAAGTTTTCAAAAGCAATAACTCAGAATGAATGTAACAGAGCTACTCCACCAACATGCAACCGCCCCGAGCAGTGCAATTCATTGTATGCATTTCATTTTTGATGAAAGATAAATAAAACTTGACAATCCAGGTAGACTCCAAATCAGCATCCGCAACACCAAGACCGATGTAACTCGACATATACGCAGTAACATTACATAAACAGCAGCTAATCAAAGGACTGCAAAAACGGCAGAGTGAGGTTAAGTGTCTAAATGAACAGCAGCTAGATGATGAAAAAAGTCTGAAAAGCAGAGCGTGGACAGGGAGAGCATAAATCACGGTGATAACAGTGTGGGCAGGTCACAGCCAGAGGCATCAATAATACACACGTACACATACACACAGGAGCAGGGTGGCAGTTCTGCACCCATGACCACAACTAAACCATCAACACCACAATAAGGGAGCCCTTCCTGGTTTCTGCTGCACGCGCACACGTGCCCACACATGCACACACGCATACAAGCAGGTTGTCTTGAGAGATGATTTATTTTCATAGAGAGTTGTCATGCAACAAGTTAAGAGCTGGGGGGCAGTGGGAAGAGAGACAATATGAGGTGGAGCAGGGAGAAAAACAAATCTCATTCCCTGCCTGTCCAGGCTGTTCTGACTGAGAGCTGAGAGGGGGGGGGGGGGGG